GCATCAATCTCTTGATGAGATTATCTGAGTGGCAGCTGAAGGTGCGTGGGGTGTGGTTTAAGGAGGGGGCACTGAGGTGTGGCTACGGGGGTGTGTATTTCTATCTAGCAGTGGAGTCACTCTGCTTCCTGATGGTCATGTGAGCTGCTTCCCGCCCCCCCCCCCCCCTCGCCACACTCTGCCTCACCTCAATCCCTGAGGAATGGAGCTGGCCTTCTATGGACTTAAGACCTCTGAAACCGTGAGCCCTCAAACAAACTTTTCCTCCTCTACAATTGGTGACTACCGTTAATAAGGGATCCTGAGCTTGAAAGTGGCTCACAGAGAAAAATCTTTAATGGTTTTATTACCAAGAAATGAGTGTTTGAGGTACCGGAGATGTTAATTAGCTTTATTTAATCAATGCATGGTGTAGCCACATATCAGATCATGACATTGCAGACGTAAATCTATACAATTTTTATTTATAAATTATACCTTAATAAAGCCTGAGAAGAGTCTTTTAGGAGACTATAGTGACATCAGAAAGTATTACAATGAAAATGTTTTTAATTGACTGAATTTTATTTTTAGAGGAAACTTAGATTTACATTATATGTTAGAGGAAAGGCCAGTCCAGAAGTTACCAAATACCTTCCTCTTGTCACACAAGCACAGTCCCTCCCCACCAGCACCGTTCCACACCATGTGGGCATTTATTACAACTGATGAAGATGTATCCTCATGTCGTTATCGAAGCCCACAGCTTGCAGTGAGGTTTCCTCTGTGAATAGTACCCTACTCAACTATTGAGGGACATCTTGGTGATGATGGATAAAGTTGCTATAAATATTTGCAGACTTTTTTTTGTGGACCCATATTTTCAAGGCATGTGGGTAAATATCAAGAAGTGTGATTGCTGGATGTGTTCTAAGAGTTTGATGCATTTTATAAGAAAATTCCAAACTGTTTTCCAAAGTGGCTCTTGCATGCTGCACTCCATCAGCCCAGAATGTAGTTTCCTGTGGTTCAGAATCCAAGACCTTGTTCTAGAGCGTCCTGGATGGGCAGGAGTGCACGCAGGTGTGGGTCAGGGCCAGGATGAGCCAGGATACACTGACCTATCACTCCATGGTGCCCTGACCTGCCAGGCACAGATGAGGGTCCACACAGTGCTACAGCTGCCAAACACACCTCCTCCTCCAGCAACCTCATCCGCTGACTTCAGCCACCTGGGAAGTTGGGGTTACAGCTAGCGACCAGAAAACAGTGGTGGGGCAGTCCTGAATGGAAGTTCAGACTCTATGGTCAACCAATAATGAAAGTACTTTTTTCAAGTCCTGGTTAACTTAAATTTAGACCAATAGTATTGACCCAAGGGCTATATAAACTCCGTAGACTAGCACACTCAAGAGGAACCTCTCTTGGGCTTTCTCTTCCCTGTGGGCAGGGAGTTCTCTTTCTATTCACCTTTTAATAAATCATACTCTTAGACCCTCATCCTTGTTTGTGGATTTCAGTCTGAAATAAGAAGTTGGTGAGCTGCTGGGCTGCAACACTAGGGGGCACAGCCCGCCATTCAGAAATGCAAGCCGTTTGTGGACTGCAGAGGCCTGCAACTTACACAGACCCTACCTGCCAGCAGAAGAGAAGAAATTCCAGTTTTCAGTTCTACGTCCTGCCAGAATTTACTGTTTCAGTGTTGGGGATTTTACCTATTCTAGTATGTAGGGAGTGGCTTATTTTTGCAGTTTTAATATGATATGGTGCATGTTTTCATGCTTATTTGCCATATGTATATTTTTAGTGATATGATAGTGGTAATTGGCAATTTTTTTATTGAATTGTTCATTTTCTTATTGTTGAGTTTCAAGAGTTCTGATTTTGGATACCAGTTTTTGTACTATCTTTTGATAAAATGTTCTGTCAGTCTGTGGCTTGTCATCCCATTGTCTTGCCAGTGTTTTTCAGGGCAGAATGTTTTAAATCTAATGAAGTCCAACTTATCAATTTTTCCTTTCATCAATCATGCCTTTGATCCTGTATATAAAATGTCACCAACAAACCCAAGGTTATCTAGATTCTCTCCTGTTTTTTTCCCCTTCTCTCCTTTCTTTCTTTTCTTTTCTTTTTTTCTTTTTTTTTTTTACTGGGAATTGAAGCAGAGGGCACTCTACCACTGAGCTACATCTCCAGATCTTTACTTTTTTTTTTTTTTAGACAGGCCCTCATGAAATTGCTGACATCTTGAACTCGCGCTTCGCCTGCCTCAGCCTCCCAAGTCCCTGCCTGGGATTATGAGTGTGTGTTATCATGCCCACTTATCCTGTTTATTTTCTAAGGATTTTGTGGGCTTATTTTTTGCATTTAGGCCAATGGTCCATTCTGAGTTAGTTTTTGTGAAGAATGTGAGCTGTCTAGATTTTTTTTTTTTTTTGACATGCGGATTTCTAGTTATTCTAGCACCATTTGAAAAGAAATGTGTACATTTTCTTCATTGAATTTCTTTGCTTATTTATCCAAGATCAGTTGACTATGCCAGTTCATTGGTGACCTATTGTGTTCCATTGGGCTCTGTGTGTTCTTTTACCAACACCAGTGTCTGGATTACCATGGTTATATGAAGTCTTGAAGTCATGTTATGTCAGGCCTCAGAATGTTTTTCTCTTTAATATTGTGTTGGGTATTCTGGGTCCTTTGCCTTTTCATGTAATTTTTCTATTTTTTATTTTGAATTAACTCATGTTGTACATATTTATGGGGCAGAGTGTGGCCTTTTAATACATATGTGCAATGTGTAATGGTCAGGTCAGGCTAACTGGCATATCCATCACTGGCTTATCATCTCTTTGAATTGGGAACACTCATAATCCCCTCTATCAGCTATTTTGAAATATTCAGTTAATTATTCTACTATGCTACAAAATATTACAAGTTTTTCTTCCTATGTGGAATCTACACATGACTGGGATTACATTAAATCCATAAATTTAATGTAGCTGAGTCTTCCTGTCCATGAATATGGGATAGCTTTTCATTTAGTTCTCCCTTGGTTTCTTTCATTAGAATTTTGTAGTTTTCCATATATATTATACATATTTTATTAGATTTATACTTAGATATTTAACTTTTGAGGAGTGCTCATGTAAACAGTATTTTTTCCTTTATTTTGAATTCCATTTGGAGAATCAGTTGATTTTTGTACTTTAATGTTTTTTTAGATCCTACTTTAATTGCCTATTAGTTCCACCTCCCCCTTTTTTTTCTGGTCATCCTTTGTGATTTTGTTAATAAACAACCAATGTTATTTGCAAACAATGACAATTTAGCTTTCTTTTTAATTCTTCTTTCTTGGTGTACTTGATTCCCTTTCTTGTGTAATTCCACAAACTAGGACTTCCAGTGTGATGTTGGAAAGGACTAGTGAGGAGAGACATCTGTTTAGTCAGATTCTACCTCCTGTGGTCAAAGACCCAAAGGCTATTTTGATACAAGGTTTCAGACATTCAGTCCATAGTTGGTGGAGGAGGGCAGAACATCATGGCAGAAGGTGTGGCAGAGGAGAGCAGCTCAGGACATGGCAACTAGGAGGCAGAGAGCTCTGTTAACCAGGGACAAAATATAAACCCCAAAGGTACACCCCCCAATGACCCACCTCCTCCAGCCACACCTGTCTGCCTATAGTTACTGGCCAGTGAATCCATACCTGGATTAATCCACTGATTAAGTTACAACTCTCATAATCTAATCATTTTGCCTCTGAAGATTCTTGCATTGTCTCACATATAAGCTTTTGGGGGAACACCACTTATTCAAACCACAAACTTTGCCTATTTCTGATCTTGGCAGGAAAATGCCCAGTTTCTCACACAACCGTGAAGTTAGCATTGTGTTAGCTGTAGGATTTTATAATTTCTTTTCATCAAGCTGAGGAAGTTCTCGTCTATTCCAGTTTGCTGAGGAACATATATTTATATTTAATATAAAAATGGTACATGAGGTAGTTGTGTGATTTGAATCTGATTATTTTGTGAAGAAAAAAAAGTATTTTTGCCTTGGAAAAAAGGAGGCCATATCTAACTCAAAGCAGGCACCTTTGGTGGGATAACTGGTATCTTTCTTCACACATTCCCATATTTTCTAAATTTGGACCAATGGACAATAACTTTATGAAAGGTGATTAGTTAATCTGGAAAGAAGGGCGGGTGAACAGGGAAACACAAAACCGACCAGAAGCTAAAGAGAAGGGGCATCTCCAAAGAGAAAACGGACGGGGTACTGGCCTCATCAGTGAGAAGATGCGCCCTTTGAGGACAGGTTTGACTGCGCCATCCCGACCATAAAACGATGTACTTTTTCTCAGCTTTGCCTATGAAATACCTTTTATTTATTTGGCATTCTGAGTGTAGAGGCGAATTTTTTTCTTTCGGAGTAGTTTTGCTCTTTAGGAGGTCGGTGGCGGGGGCGGGCGTGGCAGCACCCGCCCCGAGGCTGGTGGAAGTGCCCGGCCGGGTCCGCGGGCTGTGGCGGGTCCTGCAGGCAGAGGACAGCGCTGCACGCCCCAAGGCTGCGGACGGAGCTGGGAGCCCGGCGGGCGCACTCGGGCTGCTGGAGCGGGGCGCAGCGCCCCCGCCTGGCTCCGCGCGCCTGCCGGGCGCACCCCCGCCCGCCCAGGTGTCTCGGAGCGCACAGCTGGGAGCGCTCTCCCGGCCCCGCGGCGCCCGCGCCCGCGCTGTGCTAGGGCGGCGGCGACAGTGACAGGCGAGGGGCGCGGCACTGCTCCGCCGCTCGGCTGTCGGCTAGCTGCAGTGGGCCCCGTGGACCGGCTCGAGTCGCCGGGCTGAGCCACCCGCCGCACGCCGCGGAGGTGGTGGGGACAAACCAGGGCGCGCAGGGCTGCACGGGGCGGACCCGTGGCGGGCAGCGCTCCCACCTCTCCTGGCCAGCAGCTGCCGCTAGCTCGGGCCCGCGGCCCCTCCGCCTCAAGTCTGGGAGCTCCCGGCCTCACCCTGCCGCTGCCTATGGGGATCCGAGAGTTTCCCGGCGGCGCACCCAGGGGCAAAGGCATCGCCATGTGAGTAGCGCCCGGGGTGTGGGCGCGCGAGCCGGCCGGCAGATGGCCCGAATGCTGGGTGGACTCTTGCAGCCGCGACCTCGGGGGTCCGGGAGGGGCGACGTGCATGGCGGGAAGTTTAAGGCACCTTCTCCCTCGCCACTGGCCCCAACCCACACTGCCGGAGGCGCCCAGGGGAGGGCGCGGGAGACGGGAGACGAATCCGACTTCGAGGCTCGGAGCGAGCAGAGGTGGGTGGCGCGAGGGAGCAGCCCCGGCTGCACCCTGGCTCGCCCAGGGCCCCGCTCCTCACCGAAGCCCCCCTCTCTGTCCTTAATCCCTCTCCGCCTGCCACCTGCCCTGGCGCCCGCGGCCTCAGTGGCATGAGGAGGTCACCGGACGTCAGTCCTCGGAGACTGTCCGACATCAGCCCCCAGCTCAGGCAGCTCAAGTACTTGGTGGTAGACGAGGCGATCAAGGAGGACTTGAAATGGTCGCGTTCGGTGGAGGACCTCACCAGCGGGCCGGTGGGACTCACCTCCATCGAGGAGCGGATCCTGCGCATCACAGGCTACTATGGCTATCAGCCCTGGGCAGCGAGCTACAAAAGTAAGACCACCCCGCCCCAAGCCTTTTCCCTGTCCTCTGGTCTTCCTACCACTGTCACAGCAGCCTGGGAAGCGCGCTCTGTGAGGGTCCTGCCGCCAGCTGCCGCCCTGCCTGAGGGTTTGTAACTTTGAGGAAGAGGCCTGGAGACAGTTCTCCGGAGCCTTCAGGGTTTCTGATCCGTTATTTCACAAGCCTCTCTCTCCCACACAGTCCTCTCCATCCTTATCCCCTTCTTCCGGAGGTGTCACAATATGGAGGGCACCCCTCTTGTGGCAGAACTTGAGAAACGCGCAAGCGAATCAGTATCCTGGGCTGCGTAGCTTTACTGTGATCAGAAAGTGTTACTGGGCCCCGGGTCAGGAGCAGCTGGCTCTTTTGGAGAATGCAGACTTAGGCAGCCCGGATTTTAACTCTTCCCGGTGTCTCCTAAGCAGGATGATGGATGACAGTTCTTTATATCTCAGCCCCTCCCTTTGTCCCAGGATTTTTGGGGTCCTCAGTGAGGAGGTTCCATACGCATCAGTGTCAATTCTGGCACGGTGCTTGCAACATGAAAGAAAGCCTGGTGCCAGGTAGAGAAGCTGAAACTTCTTTGTAGTGGGCTTTCAGCTGACTGTGCCAGGAGCAATGACACAGACCTCACCTTTTTTTGGCTTACTTTGGAAGAGAGAGAGGTTGCCTACAACAAACTCCAGATGCTGATAGATATAACCAGAATTGAGTGGTCTCATCACTGTGTTTGGACACAGCAAAGAGACATTAACCACTTCAGTCAAAGAAATGAGCATTGCCTCATTCATTTGTGAGTCTAATAGCTTGATAATCTTGAGGATTTTTAAAACCTGTTATTTATTGCTTGAAATTGCAATATATTGGTACTAGGAAGAACATCAGGCTTTTGTAATTTAATCATATTCATCACTAAAAGTATGTCTATCTTTAGATTGTTTATGAAACCTTCAAGTCCAAGCCAAACATCAGCAGTCTACTAGCAATGAGCTTATATTTTGGGGAAGAAACATAGGATTTGAATGTTTGGTTTCTATGCCCTTGCTGGTCTTTAGAGGACTGTGGTGAGCTGTGGTGAGTGCATTTAATTCAGCATAAACCTTACAATGATGTATGTGTACTCGAGTCTCCTGACTGCTACTGAAATCATCGCTGATCTGCTGGCTTTAGATTGCAGAAGGAAGTCAAGGGACCAAGTTCCCTTTCTGTCTGAAAAATATGGGGTGTAGGATGACAAGAATTCAAATCCATTGGAAACCATTTTTCTTATGGCTATGGATATGACCTCACTTTTTATTTCTGCTTTTTTCTGTTAGAAAATACAACTTTTCTATTTCTTGTTTTCATTCTCTGCTTTCTTTGTAATTGAGGACTATGATACAAATCATAGTTTTTTGGGAGTCATCTCTTCAGCCCCTGAAGTCATGATTAGGTTTATTTTTATAATTCTATTTGTGCCTGGCTCTAGGGTTTTCTGGAAATGATCACTGAGGTTTGTGACTTGAGGGGCACTCACAGTGGTGATGACTGAGTTTGGTACAAACGTACTTAATGATTAAGACCATGGAAACAAGTCCCTTGAACCACCAGCAGTATTCTTAGATGCCCTCTCTCTGAGGCTTTGTTGAGGGGATAAATACTAGCAGACAGGCTGTAGGAGCTCCAGCCATGGGAATAAAATCAGATCACTCCACTGTGTTCCTGTGAGGATCCTTCTTTATTCCAAGGTATTTCCTTGCTACTAAAATGCTTTGGGTGACAACTGACATTTTGATGCATTAATTGGGGTTTACGTTTAAATTTAGAGAAGCTAATGTTTTATTCATGCAGCGGGAGAGGTTCTAGGGCAGTGCTTTTGCTGCTTGCCATTTCTACTCAACTAAGAAAATAACAGCAGAGGCTCATCCATCTGTAGGTAGTGGTCGGTTAATTTGTTGCTTAATAATTGAATTCAACAAATTGAAAGAGGTATAATTACAAAACAGAATGTTCTCCTCATGGTGTCCACAGAGATTCCAAGCCTGGTCCTTACCGTTTTGATGTTACCTCTCAGTTGTCTTTCCAAGTGGCTTCTCTGCATTCTGACTGTAGGAGAGTTTCTGGACTCTTGGAGAGGTGTGCAGCTGCCCGGGCAGCAGCAGAAAGAATTTAACCAAGTGTTCAGCCACACCCCCTTCATTTTTAGGTTTTGGCAGTTAAGATAAATGAGATAATTATGAACTATGCTCAACCCCAGCAGTGACAGCCACAAGTTTCACTCTGGACAAAAGACTTTTTATGAGGAATTATTATTATTATTATTATTTTAAATCCCAAAGCCCCTGAGGCCTGAGAGGGATGTTTTGTGGAAGTTGAGCTCTCAACAAGTGGGCAGGCGAGGCTGAGTCTCTTCTCTCAGTGGTTCCACTCTCCAGGCTCCCACTCTGAGTTCCTGCAGTGAACCACATGGTGACACTGGCAGGGATTCTTCAAGTCACCAGCTGTGAGCTCTTCCACAGCCCAGAAAGCACCTAGTGCTCATAAATATTTGCTGAATGGATGAATGGATGGCACCTGAACTGCTGGCCTCTGGGACTCATATCATTTAACTTTTTATGCTGACTTCCTGTTACGTTGGAAGTGTCTTCTGAGCCATAGACTAGAACAGAATTCTTGATGATAAGCCCAGTGTTTCTGAACCTCGGTACTATTGACAGTTTTTCCTGGGTGACTCCGTGGTGGGGACTGTATATCATAGGGCACTTAGCATCCTTGCTGGCCTCTGTTAGATGCTAGTAGCACACCACCACCCCCATTTGTGAACACCAAATATCTCCAGATGTTGCCAGGTGTCCCTTGGAGGGCTGCGTTTGGTTGAGACCCACTCATTAACCTGAACCCCATGCTTACTTCCCAAGTGACCTCTACTCTACTGACCAGTGGTGCCCATGGAGTGGTCCTGCTCCAAATTCCTCACCTTCCCTCCCTTTTCCTTTCACCTGGCCCACTCCTTGGGCTTTCATGATGGGACACATTAGAATGAAGGTATTTATTTATTTATTTATTTTTAAGTTATAGATGGATGCAATATCTTTATTTCATTTATTCATTTTTATGTGGCGCTGAGGATCGAACCCAGTGTCTCACATGTGCAAGGCAAGCGCTTTGCCACTGAGCCACAACCCCAGCCCCAGAATGAAGGTCTTTCTGCAGACTCAGAAAGGCCTGTTGCTTCTGCAGCTAGTGAGATTTCAGCCCCCTCCCCCATAAGTCAGCATCCCGTAGAGAGAGCTTTAGGAGTTGGAAGGATCTGGATGATCCAAAGAAGAACATCTTTGCCCAAAGTAGGGAAGAGTGACTGACCTAAGTGTCTTCTGCTGCTTCTCCCTTCTCTGATGTTGCTGCCATTGGGTGGTGGGGGTGGGGAGGAGATGGCTATGGAAGGGAAGAGGGAGCCCAAGATCAGGAATATGCTATCTGTATGTGGACAGCCAGCTCCAGGCATCTGGCAGGGTGGGAGTGGCACCTCTGCACAGGCAGGACAGAAGGGGTGATCTTGGAGGTCCCAGATGGAGGGTCCTATGTGACTGGGGAAGGAGCACTCGTCTGCTCCTTCGTTTCCTCTGTTCATGGAATCTTTTTGGAGCCTTCACCCTGTGCCAAAATATAGAGCTGAGCTCCGGAAGACAGGCTCACTGTACAGGTGTTCCCTCTTCAGGGAGTGTAAAGGCAGAGCCCTGCATAGACCGCAGGAACCCAGGGCGAGTCCTGGAGACTTCAAGGGTGAGTGTTTATAGAGGCAGGATGCTTTGCTTGTGGAAGGTTTGGATGTGGGACAGACAAGGCTGGCCACCCAGGGAATTTTCAGGAAGCAGGTTTATTGACTGCAGGGTCCAGAGGGGCTATTGCCCAAATCATTCTCTGGACCAAGAGTCTAGAAATGCTTTGGACTTAATACCGAGTTGGCGGGGGTGGGGGGAGCTTGGAGGTTCACATGACAGTGCTTTTTGTTCCAGTTTTTAGAACAGTCAGAGGTTTTACACGTTTTACCACAGAAGCAGGAGCAACATCAGCAGGTCTGCAGTTAAACTTAGCTTTTGCGAGACACAGCATCAGAAAATAGGAAGGTCTAATCACACTGAACTGTTTTGCATAAATCTTTGCTGATATTATATTAACAAGAAAAAATATGGTGAGGGTCTTCTGGGTACGGGGTCTCTGGCCTGCTTCAATTTCCCTAATGGTGCTGTTGACTGTGCACTGTCAACTGCTTTCCTAATCAAAAGCACTTTCTTAGGGATTATTTTGAGGGGGGTCATGTTTATTGCTTGAAATGAGATACAAATGTGTTTGTAGTAGATTTAACTCCATGGTGCTAGTATGTTGAGATAAAAATGATTTTTTTTAGAATGCTCATGGGTTTAGTTTTAAGCCATTTTTAGAGTGGAGGGTAGGCTAATCCCAAAGGCCACCCACCTTTAGCCCAGTCCTGCTTTCCATTTACAGTGTGAGCCTGGGCCTGTAGCCTGCAGGGTACTGAACAAAGTCTCCCTCATCTGGGTGGAGATCTTCTAGTTGCAGCTGAGAAAGTGAAGGGTGCCCACTCACATCGCTGGGGACCAGAGTCACAGAGGGTTTGCATGAGGTGAGTGGAAGGGCTTCTGGAACAATCTTGCCCTTGGGCCCCCTCAGACTGAACTGAGAGTGGGGGTGCCAGTGCCAGAGTGGTGGCCGCTGTGGTGGAATTTGGGGTGCATGGCTCCTGTGAGGTCCTCTGGAGCAGCAGGGGTTGGGCCAGCGACTCAGAAGTGGCACTGTGTCGAGACGGAGGAGTTGGTGGTAAACATAACTCTCAAAGGCAGCTTGGCACATGAAATACAAGATGGAAAACATTTAACAGGGAAGAGTTGGAGGTGGCTGAGGTGGGTAAACACTAGAACACACATTCTCTAATGTGTCAGAGTTTGGTTCCTGAGTATAATTGCATACTAACAATTTAGTAAATGCTTTCC